GGTACCTAATGGACGCTCAGTTGCCGAATAGCAAAAACGAGGCCCGACGGATTAGGTATAGAGCCGCCAGGTACTTATTATATGATGGCATGCTCTACCGACGAGGCTACTCTACACCTCTACAATGGTGCCTAGATGACGCCGAAGCCCAGAAGGTCCTCCAAGAAATACATGAAGGGATCTGTGGCAATCATTCCGGGGGACAATCTTTAGCGATAAAGGTTTTGAGGCAAGGATACTACTGGCCCACGCTAAAAAAGGATACTTTCCAGTACGCCCGACGATGCGATAAATGCCAAAGGTATGCCACGATTCCTAGGGCACCCCCGGAAAAGCTAACTTCCATTCTCAGTCCATGGCCCTTCGCCAAGTGGGGGATTGACCTGATCGGGCCATTGCATCCTGCACCTGGGGGGTTGAAATTTGCGATCGTTGCGGTAGACTATTACACAAAGTGGGCAGAGACCAAGGCCCTAACCACTACCACGGAAGCAACCTGCACCAAATTCATGTGGGACCACATCGTGTACAGGTTTGGGGTTCCCCACTCGATAGTGTCCGACAGCGGGAAGCAGTTCGACAACGCCGCGACACGCAGATTTTGTGACGGTTTGGGCATCCGAAAAGACTTCTCGGCACCAATCCATCCACAGTCAAATGGGCAAGTCGAGGCCATCAATAAAATACTCAAATATACCCTAAAGAAGAGACTCGATGACCTAAAAGAGAGATGGGCCGAGGAGCTTCCCAAAGTTTTGTGGGCATATAGAATAACAAGCCGAACTACGACAGGAGAAACACCTTTCTCCATGGCGTATGGCATCGAGGCGGTACTTCCCATAGAAATCGAAACGCCGACCCTAAGAACTGTTGTCCACAACGACGAGGATAACACGGAGGGCATGAATGGAGAACTCAATTTATTGGAAGAAAAGCGACTCGACTCCCAACTACGTCTCGCCGCTTATCAGCAACGGACATCGCGATACTACAATAAGAAAGTCCGGCAAAGGAGGTTCATCCCGGGAGACCTAGTATTAAAAAGGGTGACACAAAGCACAAAACCCAAGAATACTGGTCCCTTGGGCCCAACTTGGGAAGGACCCTATCGCATAAGGAAAATGCTACGACTTGGCACCTACGTATTAGAAAACCTCGACGGCAAAAAGGTTCAACACCCATGGAATGCTGAGCAACTAAGGTTGTACTACCAATAATGTATGAAGTTGTTATGCGTTTTTTATTACACATTCTTTGCAAATATAGTAAATTGATATGTTTTCAGCGTGAGATAGATTGACCCCTTAATAACGTGTCTGCTTAAAAGAAAACCCAAGGGTGTATTTAACAGAGGCGGGGGGAATGAAGGCGCTCGAAACACTTAGTGAAATTCTAAGGAATTTCCTAAGACGACGACCCAAAGGGATAACCTCGACGTTAAATCCTCAAAGGAGGAAAGACATAACACTTAGTGAAATTCTAAGGAATTTCCTAAGACGACGATCCGAAGGGATAAGCTCGACGTCAAATCCTCCAAGGAGGAAAGATAAAACACTTAGTGAAATTCTAAGGAATTTCCTAAGACGACGATCCGAAGGGATAAGCTCGACGTCAAATCCTCCAAGGAGGAAAGACATAACACTTAGTGAAATTCTAAGGAATTTCCTAAGACGACGATCCGAAGGGATAAGCTCGACGTCAAATCCTCCAAGGAGGAAAGACATAACACTTAGTGAAATTCTAAGGAGAAAGAGAAAGGAAATCAATGATTATGAATCAAGGTATGAACAAAACCCATTGCCTTTATATATATATATATATATAAATGCGGGTAACATAAAAATTGTCTGAAAGCAATAACAAAAAAAAAGGGTGACAGAAGATAATTCCTTAAGCATCGCCGCCACCAGCCGCTGGCTCCTCGCCGCCACCAAGGAAGGGAGCATTCTCTTCATCGCCACCAGGAGGGGGCACTTCCTCGTCACCAGCGGGAGTAGGCGAGTTGTAGAGGAAGCCCAAGTCCCAATCAGGACGCTCTTTTTTTATCAGATCAACAATTTGCTGACCCGCCGACTGGAAATCATTATTGCGGATGTCAAAGAGCTCTTGAGAAGCCTTGAATTCCTCAATGATCACTCCTCAATAATCTGCGCCCGTCTGGCGTCGAAGGTTGCCTCGGCCTCCATCTTCCCATCGACCTTCCCCTCGGAATAGCGATTCTCGGCATCCACGATCGCCCCAGCCAATTTCTTTTCAGACAAGTCAGCCCGTCGAGTAAGCTTTGTGACTTCAGCCTTCAACTTGGTTACTTCACTGTCTAGGCTAATCAGTTGGGCCTTCGCCAAATCTCTCTCCTCGACGGCATCATCCCTGTCCTTCTTGGCCTCATCGACGAGTGACTGAAGCTTGGCCTCCAAATCGTCCATCTCATCCTTACGCTCCTCGACCTTGATTAGGTCAAGGAGGTTAAGAAGGGAAAGGACGAGGCTTTGGGAAATGGCAAGAAAAAAAAAAAAAAAAAAAAAAAAACTTAACTTACGTGGATCTGGAAGGAGATCTGCTTGCGTTGGCGGTCGACTATGGAAGACTGGGATGCAGTGACCCAATGGGGCTCAAGGAACGACTCGTATAAGGCCTGGAAGACGAGGGAAAAGCGAGGAGGGAGTTTTAGCATCGCCCCGACCTCGGCGTCAGAAATATCTGAAACCTGGAAATTCCCGTCCGTAATCTTCCCCCCCGGGATCAGTATGCGTTCTCTTGGTCCCGGGGGAGTGCGGACATCAGGAATGGGCACTACCAGTGTCCAGGTCTTATTAGTCGATGCCTGGCTAGGGGCCGACTCCTCAGTACGCCTCCTCTTGTGCTTGCTCTTTTTGCCCTTCGGTGCAGGGCAGGAAGAGCCGGCCTTCTCCTTCCCCTTCGCCGAAGGCTGTTGGCCTGACGGGGGCTGCGGGACGGACGGCGGCTGTTGGCTCAGCGCCTGTTGTTGACTCAGCGCCGGCCGTTGGCCCCCAGGAAGCTGGATCCTCAAAGATGCCATCTCTAGCAAGAAAAAGAGGGTACCGTCAGTGTTAGGAGAACACGAATCTTAATTCAACAAGGCGTCGAGAGAAGTGATTACCCTCGTCGCTTAAATGGAACTACAAGCGAACGGCGTCGAGATCTGAAGGGTTGGGAAGGTCGAGAATTAGGCCAGCAGTACGAAGGTTCTCCTTGGTCAAGAGCGTGTCGATGTGGCGAACCTCTGATGAATAGGAAAAAGCTTCCTCGATCCTCGCCAAACTGTTACCAGAAAACTTTGGCCGGTCCTGGTTAACTGCGACACAGAGGACTCCTCGTCAACATGTGAAAAGGGGGTCAGGTCAGATAAAAAGAGAATTGAGGGGCTTACTCATATTTCTAAACGTCGCCTGCACCAGCCTTCGGCGGGGCTGGCGGTCGTTGGGATGGAAGTTAAAGGGCCCACGAATGATGAAAAACATGGGCTTCCACCCATGTGACGATGAGGGGATGCCCAGAATAAGCTTCCCAAACCTAGGCTGAGCCCTCCCATGGCCGCTCAGAAAGTACCACCCATCGCACTTGGCAACGTGGCACAACTTGTACATAAATCGGAACTCGTCCAGTGGGAGTTCCATGTCGAACTTCTGGTTCCATAGAATCCAGGCTCCCGCAAAGCAGTACCAGAAGT